ATTGATTTATACGCACATGTTTGTACATCGTTGAAGGGTCAGCTGAAAATGACACTTAAACTTAAATATTTATTAGTATAATGTGGGTACATTATACTAATATTTTTTTTTTTGCATTTTGCCAACGTGAAGATGAATACGTTACATTGATACAGAAAATTAAACATTTTTTTTCAAATACAATTAAGATAAAATAAGCACACGACCCACAAGTGGGTAAACTATTTGGGTCATTCTACTTAGGTACATGTCAAAAAAAGTCTTCTTACTGTTGTCCTAAGGTCCAGCAGCAGTCATGCAATTTTTTTCTATAGAAACACCCTTGAAGAATTAAAAAAAAAAACATTTTTTTAATTCCTAATAGGAATATAAATATCATATAGGTATATAAGTATAAAAAATCATAATCTCCTTAAATTTGATTATGTATCCGCTCTCTGTTCGCAGCTCAATTGGCGACCAATTCGTCTACGCCGAAAACTACTTGCTCTCACTGTCTTATACTCTATCTTAAACAAACCATCATCGCAAACATATTTAAACTCCTACTTCCAACTTTTATGTAGTAATTGACGACGAAACTACAGAAACCTTCGGTCTTCTAATTACCTTCTTCTTCGTTGTCCCCCCCACACGACTGAGTTTGTTGGCTCATCCTTTATTGTGCAGTCCATTCTTCTGTGGAATGAGCTTTCCCTCGAGGTCAGGATGGCCACCAACACTTTCTCATTCAAAACTAAAGTGAAGCAGTATTTTGTAAAACAACTGGCAGAATCAACTGACGTATGATTGTCATCTACTATTATTAATGATATTTATTTAGGTATGTATGTATTTATGTAAGTTTAAATGTATTAAGTTTATGTTTGTACGTGTGTATAATGTGTATGGGTTCTAGTGTATGATAGGTTTACGTACGCGTATTTGATATTATAACTAAAAACAAACTTTAACCAAAATGCACCTACTTCCTGTTCTCTCTGCATCACCCAAAGCTTGATTGGTAAAGAATGCCTTGGGCATTAAGTCCACCATTGCACCAAAAGTGCATGATGTATAAATAAATAATTAAAATTACACCTTCCTTCTGATCAAACCCGAATAAGATTATGAATCAAGTTAAATGGAAGATTCAGTAATAGTTATTTTATTTCCTTGTCCCTTTATATTATCATATCTTGAGGAAAGCTTATAGTAAACAAATTTAGAATAAATATATTTCTTAATGAGGCCTAAAGTTTTGAACTAAGACTGTATTTCTATTAATACCAAAAAGTATTTGATATTATTTAATTTATATTTGATTTTTGGGAACATTATTAACAAAAGTAGCTAGCGACTTTACATGATCTTAAACGCAACGATTATTAACAGGCATGAATTTGGTAGCATACTGAGTTTTTGTACTTTTCTTATTTGTGTGTATAAAACCCAAAATATCAAATATTTTAAATGTCTCGTCCTTTAATGAATCCTTAGTAACACACAACGTTTTTTCCCCTATAACTGAATAAATACCTATTCACTGTTTTGTTCCAAGTTGAAATGTTGAAGATTGTTAAAGTTAACTGTGAAGTTGATATTATTGTTTTACGGAGAAAAACATTCTACATAATTAAGAAAATTTTGTAAGGAGGAAAAACGTGACGACTGTATTTGTTATGAGTACTAAAAGTATGGGTTTAATACTTGCCTTAGAAAAGTTACCTTGCTTAGATGAAAGGTTGGGGTTTAGTACAATGCAATTCTGCACAAGTTTTTTGTGAAGTTCTTCACCTTACAGACTTTATTCACTCTCCAAAGAACGAAAGGGAGATCATTCGGAAAGAAGTATTTAAGCACATCTCCACAACTAATAGAAATCAGCCGTCAGACATACTATTTACATGGGGTTTCAAGCATGTCTATAGCAAACATAGGTGCGGACGAAGGGTTAATTCATGATCGAGCTCTACAGCATTTGATACCCTTTTTTTTCCGTGCGGAAATCCCCTCTGATACCACCTATCGGTGGCATGTCGGACTCGAACCGACTAAAGCATTTGATACCCTGAAATATACGAACCTATCTGAGAGGTTGAAAGCAGAAGCAATTATCTATACAAATAAATAAAATTGAAGTGTCAAATTGTAAAAGTGTCAGTTTGTAATGTCAAAATTATAGGTTTTTTCAGGCTCACACGGTTATTTGCACGATAGCTATGCCTAAAAACCAGTTTAAATTATTTTTGTCTGTCCGTCTGTTTGTTCCGGGTAATCTTCTAAAGGCTGGATCGATTTCGATAATATTTTACTACCATATGGCTGTCTACATGAGGAATAACTTAGGCTATTTTTAATCTCAGAAAAACCATATAAAATTTTGCCCGCTCCGGGCATCGAACCCACTAAGGCAGCGCTTTTCAAATTCCACGCGAACGAAGTCCAAGTAGTGTATAATATAGGTAATAACTTGAAATGTATGAATTTGTTTTCTTACTTTGAGATTGGATATTAACTAGAATGCTATACTATAGGTTATTGCCAATTAGTAAAAGAACAAAAGTAAGAAATAGTAATGAAATCGAAAAATTAGATATGCAATACAATTATTTTTATCATATATTTTATCCATTGATTTACATCAGTCAGGTGGGTTTTTTTTTTTTTTTTTTGGTTTTTTTTTCTAACAGATAATTTAAAAAAAGTTTGAGCCGAAAAGAAAGTTATTAATTTTTAGTTTTACGGTTTATCTTTTTGTTGCAGAGACTAATATACATAAATTTGATATAACTGGGATTATTCGTAAAGGCACAAAACATGACAGTGATAAATAAAAACGCAGGGTTGCAGGCTTATAATTTATAAAATGTATGAACCCGATAACCATTTCAAAGGACCACAAGATATACCTGAGTAGAATTTGGCAACTGGAAAAGTTAATTTTATTTAAATATTATTAATTTTATTATATTTAAGGAATTATTATGTAAGAATTCGTAACTAAAATAATTCACAATACTTCAAAACATAATCAATCATCATCATCAATAGCCTCTAATAGTCAACTGCTGGACTATAGGCTTCCCCATAAAAGATTTAATAATACATATAACCAATAATTAACTTTATTCCTATAACACGAAATTATGCATTTATTATAATTTATTTCGAACAGTACTATGAAGGTATTGATAATAAAATAAGTAAGCTGATGGTCAATTAACATTATTTAAATTAATTGAGCGTGCGGATTGGCTTACTTATCGATTTTATCTTTATTGACACAACAATCAGCCAATTACTGTATCCACACGAAGTGCAATGCCGAGTTCCTGGCATAACATATATTATTCTCGATGTTACTTTAAGAGCCGAAAATGTCATTACATCATTACAGGAGAGACCAAAATTAACAGAAGTAAACGTCTTACGTGTATGTGGGACTCAAATAAGTAAAATTGACATCTACAAGACGTAGATGGCCCGGGGTCTGTCGGGGTATCAGGGATTTCCCTTTTTAGGGTATATCTGGTTCTAAGGCTACGATACACAAGGTACATAGGTAAGAGGAATAGCTATAGTCACTCGATTTGTGTTCTCACCGAGTACCAATAAAGTTCATGAAATCAAATATGAAAATCGAATACTATGTATTATACAATTTAGTATATTTAAATTTTATGGTAAACAAATAAATAGCTCTTTCCATAGCACCTATATCATAAAATAAGAAATTATAAGATCTTATTAAAAATTGTAAGTGAAGAATATCGGATACATACTATACATTCTCCGCTGACGTTGGTAATTAGAAACAAAATAAAACCAACTTTACTAACAAATTTCACAGCATTAATGTTATTAGAATATCAAACGTAATATTTTTACCTATGAAAACTTCAAAAGAAACTCATTATTTTTAAATTAAAACACACCTACTTGTAAGTTAAACACGGGTCATATTCTGAGAAATGTCGCTCAGACTTAAAATAATTAGAACTCTAGTTAATTATTAATATTTATTTTTCGTAATGAAATGATAATCAAGAAGCTTTTTAGGAAATGAAAATCATAATGAGTATCAAAACGTCGGTATAATTTATTACGTTTTCAAGATATCTTTGTACATTTTTATACAAAACAATAATTTTCGTTATGACTAATAATTACAATCCAAAAATTACATTTATTTTCAAGTTTATAATTATTAAATCTAATATCACGATTTAGCTTAATTATTTTAAAATAGGTAGGTACCCAAGCAATACATCCAAGTATAGCCAATAAACGATAACATTGCAAACATATATAGTTATATACATTTTCATTATAAATATTATGATTAAGCACATTTATAAATATAACATACCTTATACATGCTTTCGTACAACGAAATTTTAAAAAGTTTCAAATTATTAAACACTTTAATTTCAAAATTCAAGAATCAATATAACGAAAGAAAAAAAAATTCAATTTGTATGAATAATAAATAAATTAGTACCAAAAGCGTGTAAAAAATATATTTACAATAAAACAAACTATTTATACTTTCCAAAGTGAAAAAAACAATAAAGTAAAACAGTTCTTTTTAAAATTGCCGTTGATTTTTAAAAATTGAGATTATAGAAATTATTTTCAACATCTTAAGCTATTTGTTGTTGTGTTACAGTGATGGACCTGTGAGCAGTTTTCACAGCTTTAATAAACTATTCAATACAATTAATATTAATTTTAATATTTGAAAAATGTTACCACAATCAGACTCAACATTTTCACACGAACTTTGTACAAATATTGTTCCATTAAAATACTCGTATTTCCATAAAAAGATTCGAATCCTGCAAAACCTTATATTACGTATGTGAAAATTGACAAAATGTATGACGTTAAGTAACAATTTATTTACAATAGTAAAATAATTTATGCAATGTGAATGAATAATTAATAGTGAAACATTAGTGCACAGAAAGAAAATGAAGACTTACAATGATTGGAGTCCTGCATACCTCCAATTGCGATTATACATAGTACGTGCGCCCCTTATTGGAAGCACTCCCGGTTATGGACCGTGGTACTGTCGGCGAAATATCATCTACCCTAGAATATACGTGACCAGTGCTAGGGGACAGCCTTAGGTCATAATTAAACCGAGGACAAGTTCTATTGTCAATCGACATGTAGCTATTGTTCGAGTTGTTCCCTTCTCCGTATGTGTTGTTGTCCGACGACGGAGAACTTTCATTCTGAGATGATTCCCCATCGTTTCTCTTACAATACTGCAAGGAATGTGTAAAATTCTGCTTTGAGCAATTATCGTTTGTAACGGGCATTGTTGTGTATCTTAAAGTCGGAGTCTGTCGTAAAGACTTCTTGAATACGCTCTTTTCAGAGCCTTTGACTGTGATAATAGTGTCAGTCGAATTTAGTAAAGCAATGAACCTGTCCCAAAAACGTGGATCGTTCCACGATATGCTCCTAAACTTATCCAACACAAAACATAGTTCTTCGCTTAATTGATTGTTTTCTGCGACTTTGATTATTAATACTTTGTTAAAGTCACTACGATTTAGAGATTTTAAATAACTGAAAAACATATTTTTGAAATGAATGTCACAGAGATCATTGCAAATAAAATTATTTGTCAAAACTATTATAAGCCGTTTAGATAATTTGGATGATTTGGAAAAGCTCTCTAATGTAAGAATGTTTAGCGAAGCCTCATTTGTGGAAATTTTTTTACATGACATTTTTCTGAACTCTATCTCAGACATAATATTATGATAAACAAAGTTTGTATCTTTGGTATTACATATCACGTAGTATTCATACATATGATTCGGATTGCTTTCCAACACATGATCCACATTTGGACAAGACTGTTCTTTGAACAGAGGCACACCATATTTAGTGTATAACCAATCACTAAGTTCATATCGGAAAGCATAGAAAATAGCACCTATAAGACAAATTACCACGAGAATGATAATTACTCCACATAAAACCGCAAAGTAATTATTAGGTAGAAATACTGACTTAGAAACGATTTCATCTCTAGATACTGTTGGGTCGCCTATTGATCCCATATATTCTTTACAATGGCTCAATACCGAAGCAATAGTAATTTTAGTTGGTTTTCCTCCTGTATCTGTACACAACATTTTCTCCGGGTCTCCCGGATCCCTCCTAAGCCACGAATCTAATTCAGCTATACTTTTACAGTCACAAGAATATTGGTTACCTTCAATAGATACATGAGCTAAACTTTTGGAAGACGAAGCCAATAATTTCCAAGGGAAAAAGTTAACAAGTTTGTTGTCATCAATTCTAAGAACCGAAAGAGACTTCAATGAAGAAAAAGTGTTATTTGCAACATGTACTATGGAATTGTGATCTAAATATAGCTCATTTAAATTCTTCAAGTGTAGAAACTCATCTCCTTTCAACTCAACGAGTTTATTATTTTCCAAATGCAAAACTCTTAGTGAATCAACACCTTTGAAAGTTTGATTATTTACTTCTTTCAATTTTGTGTTGTTCAAATACAAAACTTGAAGTTTCTTTTTACCTATAAATACATGATTTCCCAGATGGCTGATGTGATTTCCATCTAAATATATTTCGGTTGCGTCCATCGGAATCCGTTCGGGTACCTCTGTGTAGCCGGCATTGGAACAGTCTACAACGTTCGCATTCCATGTAATGTCGTGATAGCATCTACAGTCATTTGGACAAATCATTTCACAGTCACATGCAACAAACTCACAACAATGACAAAGAGCAAAACAATGACTTTCGTACGGGCAGAGAAAGTCGGAAGGTAACATGTCGATTATCATTTTTTTTTCCTTAGTGCGTGAATGGACCAACGTACATAAAGTTTTATCTAAATCTAATACACGCGGGTATTGTCGACTATGAGTCAAGTATACGCTACGCTGAATCCATTCCATTGAACAATCGCAAACAAATGGGTTGCCGCTTATAAAGAACTCTGGTAAGTCACTATCTTCATCTATTTGATCTAACCTAAACGCATTCATGTCAAGTTGTACCAGTTTGTTATTATTTAATGTCACAACTGATAACTTTTGTAGTTTAGAGAATGAACCGACTTGAATATTCTGTATGTTATTGTCATTTAAATAAAGTTTTTCTACAGATTTTGGTATGGAAGTCACTACAATGTCAGTAATATTATTGTAACTTAAATCTAGTATTTTTATATTTACATTTGTATACATATCGTCATTTACAAAGTTTTCTATGTAATTTTTATGCAAATCTAACCACTCTAAGTTACTAGGAATACTTTTAAAATCAAAGTTAGAAATTTTATTTGCGGACATATTAAGCCAAATCAAATTACTTAAGGTGTTAAAAATCCCGTCAAATTTCATTATTTCGTTACCATCCATTCGAAGCAGTTTTAAGTTAATATTTTTTCGAAAACAACCAGGTGTGACATGTTTTATTTTATTAGATGCTAAATTGAGTATCTGAAGTTGTGGCAAATGTTCAAAAGTATCTTCGTTCAAATATGTGACTTTGTTATCCACTAAGCGAAGGCCATAAAGTTCGGGCAGTCCTCGAAAGTTATCCCTATTTAAATGTGTTATATTATTGTTGCCGATATCTAAAGATTTCAGTGATCGAAGTTTGTGGATAGCAGAGGGAATAACAGACAAAAAATTATCATTTAATCCTAAGTCCTCGATAGCCGTCATATTTTCGAAAGCGTTATCCTCAATTTGTTTTATCTTATTATTATCAATAAACAACTCATGTAACACGTGTAGGTCTGTAAACAAATGTGTGTGAATGTGTACAAGTTTGTTATTCGAAAGTGTCAGAGAGTGTAAGTTTCGTAACTCTCCGAATGCATGCTCATCTATCGAAGTAATTTCATTATGTTCTAAATTTAGTTTTTGTAAACTATATAAATCTTGAAACATGTGTCGGTCTATCCTATTTAAATTGTTATATGATAAGTTAAGAATAACCATACGCAGTAATCCTATAAATGTGCCCTTATTTATCCACTGACTAGTAAGTTCATTATGAGACAAATCTAGTATTTGTAATTGATCTAATCCATCAAACAAACCGGGTGGTATGGTATTAATAGTATTGTTACTGAAGTTTATCTCTTTCAAAGTCTTTGTGTCCAGAAAAATATCTGGGGGAATAGTATTCAAAAAATTACTTGATAAATTTAAAACCTGTAGACTGAGCAATCCTTCAAAGGCACCATCTTCTAGGGTAGATATCGCATTGTTTTGTAACAACAATTTCGACAAAGAACGTAATTTTGATAAACAATTGTCAGTTAGAACAATCAAGTCGTTATGAGACATATCAAGAACTTCTATGACTAAATTACAACTTTTTACGCTTAAATTTTGTTCTCTTCGTGAATCTGAAAATCCAACAGTTTTAATATTTTGTAAATGATTATTACTAAGGTTCAAATTTTTCAAACTATACAATGTACAGAAAGTATCTGTTTTAGTGCTCCAAATGTTGTTGTCGCTTAGATTGAGTTCGATCAACTCGTTTAATCCAGCAAACGCTTGTTCATGTAACTCCATTGTCATTGCAGACCACTCGCTGTTATAAGTTGTCACATGCAGATGTTTCAGGTCTTTGAAACTTTCAAAAGCACGCTCCGGTATTTGGCGTATCTTGCACTTGTCTATCATGAGATCTCTTAGTTTTGACAGACCTGTATGTTTTCCTGGCGATTTGTCCGTGTGAGCAGTCAGAGTGCTTTCAAAAAACAAAATCTCACTGCACTGTACTTGTAACGATACGACGTCGTCATAATGCGTCCTACTGATATTTTGCAACAAGTTATCCAAACTACTTATAGTTCGGATTTTACAGAAAAGTACCGTATTCTCCGACGTTTCCGTCTCAAAACTGCGGAACGCGCACTCGTGGGGCATTTCGGCCGAGAAGCTCCTTTCGATGGCATGGCAATAGAACAACACGTACACTATGATTTGATTAAAAGTTCGGTGATTGAGTCTTTTCGCGACAGTTTGTTTTGTTAGCATTTTACGATCGTATGCGGGCTGAGGTGAGGCATCGAGGTCGGCAGTGCCATTTATGAGGCAGCGAATGAGTCGTTCGCATCATAAATATTTACGCGTTGAAAGAGACATCGCGACTCGCGTGGCATGACAGCGTGTGGCACGTTTGCGGCAGGCGAGTAGCGCGGATGGCGGCTGCCCACCGACTGAGCGGCGTTATGTAGCTCCGCCCCACGACGTCGAACGCCCCGCACTGCCGCACCGCCCCGGCGTCTGAAGAAACTTCATCTCATATAATCAAGGGTGCATAAACCGTTGAATTATTCCCTCGCGAATGTATCGAGCATTAATTATAAAGAAACTGAGATCTAGTTACGTAGAGCTTGTAGTTATCTTTCTTTATAGTTTTTTATTGTCGAATTGGCTCTTTTGTGCTAATGGGACTTAATAACCGTATTAAACTTCTCAGAAAACCTAAAGTTTTTATAGGTACCTAATTAAAGTAGAAAGAATAAGTTTAAAGGTATCTCTTGAGTGTGCTCTGTAAAAGACACGTTAAAAGATAAAAGTCGGCACTTTAAAACTTTTGTTCATTGAATATAAAGTTGGTATTTTCAAAACAATACTCTTTTAAAAAAGAGGCTAATACCGTGATATTACGAACACCTGTTGTGTTCTTAACAACTTCTGTAAACTTTTTACTCAGGCGCGTTCTCGTGAAAATGGGATAAAGGACTTGAAAATAGTTTTCTGGGACACCACATGCTTCTAAAGTTAACCTTTTCTCCTATATTAAGGGCAATGGAAAGCTCTTAAAACCAAACCAAGTTTTTTTTTTATGAATGGTAACTTTTCCCCAACTTTATTAAGATTATGCACAAACACGTGTGTAAGTTAAAAAGTCTCAAATAGGTCCTGAGGCTTTTTGTGTTTAAAACAAAGACCATTTTTAACATCCAATTTACAATGGTCAACAACACAGAGGTTACAAATCAAGTTTACTTTCTACACTTCTTCTATGTATAAACATTTAATAATCTGAATATGCTATACTTTCGTGAGCATTAGGTAGGTAATTGTTCAAAAACAGGTGCACATAATTTTCTTCACCTATTGAAATACTTACTTAGACTGGCCATTAATACTGTTACAGTTAAAAACCCGTAATATTACATTTAAATTAAATCTGTCATTCTGACATGAATATTAATTGTGTTTTCTTATTTTCGCGCCGACATAGGTATCTTAAATATTTTTGGCTCTTAAAATGGAATGGGGTGATAACGAGTGGGCATTATCTGACTTCAGTGGCGATTTAGTTTGGTGTTAGCTACCAAGGAGTGACTGATCCATATTTTTGTGAAACCAGTGTCAAAACATCAGCACAAGTGAACCAAGATACGATTCTTGAGAAGGTGGTTAAACCTTTTAACAACACCATAATATTCCATGAACAAGAATTTTATTTACTTATTTAGCTGGTACAGAGTGAGTTCACAAAGACAGCATTATAGATTATATGTTACAAGACACAAACTTAGAAGTGTAAACAAGTATTTTTGTAATAGTTACACCATCACATTAGGATATACCTGTAATGATAGTAGTAATAGTAGTAATCGTCCGTGTGGTGACGGATCAAGAATACAGAGTGTCACCACCCCTATTCATCCCGTGGGTGTCGTAAGAGACGACTAAGGGAGAAAACTACGCAGAACAACAGCAATGCAGAGAGAAGGAAAACTTGACACAAACTCTATGCCAACCCGTCTGGCCAGCGTGGTATAGTAGGCCAAAACCTCCTTTCTAAGGAGAGGCTTATGTCCAGCAGTGGACTATTAAAGGCTGTTGATGATAATGATAGTAGTAAGTGTGGATACTAATAAATAAAAATGAATAAAACATATTTTTTTCCATTTGGGTTTATGTCCGCATAACAATTATCATAAGCAATTTAGTTAATAAATAATCAAATTTGAGTAGTTAGTAGAGAGTAACAATATGTGATTACTGAGCACTCAGGGCAATCCTAATGTAGCGTAAGTAAGATAGAAGGCTCAGACTTTCTGGCAAAAGCCAGTTCGAATTACAGTTGTGAAAATACTATTATAACTAAACTATTATAAAACTAAACTAACTAAACTATTAGAAAATTATTATAATTGAATGAAAAGGTATTGTCTACACTACCTAGTCCATCTGTATAAACTATATCTCTATAATACGTTGCGTTGTTGCGTTGTGGTTTAAGCGGTTACCACGCCGCTTCCGCTGAGTGTTGTGGGTTCGATCCCCGCATGGCACTTTGTGTGATCCACAAATTGTTGTTCTGAGTCTGGGTGTTCTTTATTGATTTTCCACCGTTTCATGTATGTTTGTAAAGTTCCCCTTCATACAGGAATATATAAGTGATGCGGGCGTTGTGCTTTAAAAAATATATCTATACCTAATATGCATATATTTAAAAGGTTTAAGCGTATTTATCAGCAGTCTGGTTACCACAGTACTGGTTCCGTTTAATTACTGTTATTATTATTGCAATACATGAACAGCTAGGAAATAACAAACGTTAACAAGTAATAAACTTTCAAAAAAAGTATCTTACTTTTATTGAAAGTTCAATGCGCCTAAATAATGATAAAATAATTATGTGATGCATTGTTAAATATTTACAGCTTTAAACGGGACCAACTTTAATAGCGATTCATTAGAAATAATCAATACAACCTAAAAATACAACTTAAACACACACATATAAAAACAGTCTAATAGAAAACCGCCTCCGATTTGAAATCGGTTAAAAATGTTATTCGTCAAGAGTGTTTACTATATCTTATCTGTTTTCATAGAATAAATCTTATAAGTATAGCGCTCTACCTTTAATAAATATTAAGGCTCGCAATGTTTCTTAATCTAGATCTAACGTTATGGTGCAAAAACGTATTGAAACTAGCCCACAATAATACTATTCTTATTAATAATAGTGTACGCCTTAACTACGTAAGCAAAAAAAAATATAAACAGCAATTTTATCGCGATTCTAAAGCAGGATACCGAGAGCTATTATTTTGCATAACTATCATCATTTGTAGCTATAGCACACCTTGTGGTACGATATCCAGACTGCTAATAAACATTTTTATATATTTATAGTTACACCCAGACACAGTACAAACGTTGCTCATCACACAAATACTTATCCCGGGAATTGAGCAATGATCAGGTCCACTAACCGTTAAACTAACAGACTCGTGAAAGCCTATTCAATAACATTCCATAAAGTTCTGTACATTTTATCATTATTTTATTTTACTTTATTTACTGGTAAATGTTTCTTCTTTTAATTTATTAATTTTCTTCCTAAAAACCTGCAGAAATATAATATCCTTGTTAAAACTAAAGCATTTACCAATTGTTTTCGGTTAATTTTAAGATTTATAAAAAAAAATGTAATTATAATAACGATCCCGCATTGAAAAACGAGAAATGATCGTAGGCACCATTCGCTATTACGTAGGTCGCTATTTAAACATGAAATATCTTAAATATTATCAAAACATTAGTTTCATCACTATTTAAAAAGAATTTAAGTTTAATTTAAGTGTAAGCGGTCGCCACGCCGCTTAGTGTTGTGGGTCCGATCCCCACATGGGACGACACTTTGTGTGATCCACCAATTGTTGTTCTAAGTCTGAGTATTCTTTGTGTGCGTTTCATGTATGTTTGTAAAGTCCCCCGCGACACAATATATATCCCTAATGTGGGTCTTTTAAAAAAAAGAAAAAACAAGAACGGAAAAGTTCTTATATCACGTTTACAGAACTACAAAAACAATAATAATTCAGTAAGTTAAAGCTAACAAATAATACCTTAGTTTAAAATGTATAACTAAAGATACCAGAAACGTTGGGTATACCATCGGAAGAGTTCATGTAGTAATTGACCATTACGTGATTGAGGTACATACGTTACCCGAACGCATAAACCAGTAAAAAGCAATTTGTAGTCCATGATCTAGCATTGAATGGACCACCCACCGGCGATTATAAGTGCTGGCAGTTTGTTCATTTTATTGCTTTTGTCGAAGGGTTTGGGAACAGGACATTTTAATTGTGATTTTGTTAAAGTTGAATATTTACTAATGACTTTATTTCATTCTTAGGGAAATGTTTAACAGAGTTAATAGAATAAATTCTCGATGAACTAAACCTATCAGTTCCAAGAAATATTTAATATCTGTGCTAACAAATTGATAACCAATATGTGTGATTTAAGTCAAATACAATTAATATGCTTGTTTTTCAACCCTCTAATTCTATTTACAATGAAGATACTACACTTAAATAGAAAATTAAATACAGATATGCCTTTCTTTGAATTACTAGTGTAGGTGTATATTTTTTTAATGAAGCAATATAAAAAAATCTATCATATTGCATTGTGATTTATTTTTAGACAGACATAAAAATACTTAGATGATTATAAAATACATTAAAATATTGAGAGCAAAGAAGCTAAAAAGGAGTTAGAGAGCCTCCCGAGTTCGATAGAAGATTACTACATTCCTTCTGATCTTACGTTAACAATGATGATAGTTATTTTTATATGTAAGTGATTTTATTACAAAAATATTTGAGATATAATAATACATAGATTCATAGGTTTATTTTCAGCCAGTAACATTTAGTTTTAATAGACACTGTTTTGACGAAGTAGGTAGTTTGACGTCTAACTTATTATTCAACAACAAATTCTAATATAGGTAATATCTTCTTAAAGAGATCTAATCTATTTGTACATAACAACCTAGATTATAATTTATTTTACCCATTAAATGGTTCAACGCTTCGTTGCACCATAGGAGCATTGTTTTAATATTTTATATTTATTTTCCCATGAGTTGGTTTTGAGATAATTATATTCACCGCTAGATAGCTATAAAGAGCGGTTATCGGGTAAGCTCGTCCCGCCCCTAGCAATAATCACCTTGTTAGATATACTTAGTGACGACAGTCATCGTTATC